CTTCCTGGCACAACCGTAAGGCAAAAATTGATAAATAACTTATTCATACCAACTTATCAAACTAAATCAGGGCACCTGGACTTGTGGGCATCCCAGATCATATCAGAAATACCGGACACAGGAGCTCATCATCCTCCAAAATGCAATCCCCTCACCTAACACCCATAAAAGGAAGAGCCCCCTAAGACTGGACACAGTAACACCCGGATCCCATCATCTGGCCAATCACCATGAGCCTTGCCCCAGAAAATTGCAGAGATGAGCCTCCTATACTCTGTCCCTGGGGGGCTTCAGCTCAGTGTATTATCTTCTGCCAGTGACAACAGGGCAAGGCCACTGCAACCTGACACCTCAAGCTGACACTGCAACCTGACACTCTGAAACTGCTGTCAGTCTCAGACCTTCCCCTCTCTTGGCAACTGTACAGAACTGATTTGTTAGAGCCCTTATCTGACCACCTGCAATGACTCTTTGCATTCCTATCTTCTCTCTGCCTTTGCTTTTGGCACAGCATCCTATAACCCTGTGGCAGTCTTAACTCTTTCTTAGTTTGTGTGAAGTAAATTATGTGACTTGAACCTTATAGATATTAGAAATTAAGTTTAGGGTGGAATAAAAGAACTTGTGATTTTTCAGCCTATGACTAGCAGGTGATCTACAAGTACTAGGTGAATTGCAACCAAGGGAAATGGTGTAACTCGTGAATTTATTAATTCTCAGTAAATTCTGACTTTGAAGACAAAGACAAATGGATTTGGTCTTTGTGAATGGCATAGCTTCCTCATAACACACAGCCCAAGGGTCCCTCCCATGGAAGAAGAAGTTGCTGTTTCATTTAACTGTATTAATTACCTGTGTTAGTCAGTTTTTCATGGCTGTGACTAAAACATCCAACAAGACAAAGTTAGAAAAAGAAAGTTTATTTTGAGTTCGCAGTTTCACTCTGGGCACATGGTGAGGCAGAATATCATGGCTGAAGGGCCTGGTGGTGAAGACACCTGCCCAGTTTCTGATGGCTGGGAATCATAGAGAGAGAGGGGAAGGGGCCTCAGGGAAGAGAACCTTCCCTGAATCCGCCCCCCCCCCCCACACACACACACATCTCCTCCAGCCATGCCCCACCCACCTACATTTACCACCAGTTAGTCCATGCAAATTATTAATCCATCAAATGGATCAATCTACTGATTAGTTTATAGCTCTCATAATCTGATCATTTCACCTCTGAACATTCCAGGAGTTTAACACAGGAGTTTGGGGGGGATACTTCATAGCCAAACCATAACGCTCTCCAACTTCTGGAATAGTAATGGTAGCAGCAGCAGAGGTAGTAACGGCAGTAGTTATGGGAGGAGGGGGAAGAGAAGGGAGAATAAACTAGTGTGAAATTAACAACAGTCGTGTGTTGTAATAACAGTAGTTAACACTACGTGCAGACATCATTACAGAAACTCATGTAATCTTTACCGCAACCTTAAGAGTTATTGCTAATATTTCCTCATTTTATGAAAGAGGAATCTGAGATTCTGGGAGGTGAAGTAACTAGTGGAGGAACCAAAGTTTTGAGAACAATAGTAATGACTGACACTGATCAAAAGTTCTGTTATAGCTGGGTGTGGTGGTGCTCACCTGTAATCCCAGCAACTCAGAAGGCTGAGGCAGGAGGATCGAAAGTTCAAAGCCAGCCTCAGCAACTTGGCAAGGCCCAAAGCAGCTTAGCGAGACCTGTCTCAAAATGATAAATAAAAAAAGAGCTGGGGGTGTGGCTCAGTTGTTAAGCACTCCTGGGTTCAGTCTCTGGTACAAAAATAAAGTTAAACACTTCTCATTGATTGACCCTATTACCCTATTGAATCCTCACAGCAAATCCAGGAGGTCGGTGTCTTTATTATCTCTAGTTAACACAAAGCTTGGAGGCCGGGCTAACACAAGTCAGACAAGAGGCTGGAACCAGGACTCCAAGGCCAGAACTCCAGTCCTGCCTTTCAGCTTGGGCCGGAGTGGGCTCTGGACTGATGGGTTAAGGGAGGGGAAGTTCTGTGAGCAGAAGATTTTGCCCAGAGGGAAACTGGGAGCTGATTCTCCCTGTCAGTGGCTGCCCTTGAGCAGAATCCTCCAGGGATGAGTCTATGATTCTTTCAAGAATAGTGTTTTTGAAAATGTGTATATAATTTAGATGTTTGTTTATAAATGCAAATACAGACAGATGAAATTTGGTTTTATAATTAAAGGTCTGATATAACAATTATTACCTTGCCTGAAATATCTGAGAAACTGTGATTGTAATAAAGAATTCATCATCAAAAAAAAAAAAAAAAAAAGAATCCTCTGGGGAAGCAGGCTCTCTTCTTCTGAAACACTGTAGAGTACGGGGTGAGGTAAATGAACCATTTGCCACAGGCACAAAGTTTCAGGGGTTGTCCAAAATGCAATAAACAAGACAAATATTTTTAATGCATCACTTATAAATAGACAAATATTAAATATTTGAAATAAAATTTTAAAAAATTAATGCAAAAAAAATCTGTACCTGAACAAAATATTGACATTTGAAATAAAGACAGGATCAATATGGTGCTGGGTCACTTGGTACCAGACGGCTAGAAGGAGACCAGGCAGGAGGGAGAACCCAATGCGTTCCCCACGCCCACAGAGCCTTCTTTGGCCCTTGGTAACATGTTAGCGTCCCTGTCTGGCTCTAGATGCCACTGCATGCTTGGGTGGCTCTCACAGAGTCACCCTACAGGAGGGCAACTTGGGTGGTGCTTCTGTAAACTTCATATCACCAGAACAATATTTCTGCATCCCCTGCTATTTTTACAAAACTCAAAGTGGATCAAAGACCTAGGCATTAGATCATGAACTCTCACATACTAGAAGAAAATATAAGCCCAACACTCAAACATATCAGCTTAGGAACTGACTTTCTTAATAAGACTCCTAAAAGGCAAGAAGTAAAATAAAAAATAAATAAATGGGATGGCATCAAACAAGGAACTCAAAAAACTTAGTGTCAAAACAAAACAAAACAAAACAAAAAACCCCAAATGACCCAATCAATAGATGGGCAAGGAGTGGGCGTGGGGATAAAAAAGATAGTAGAATGAGATGGTATCATTACCCTAAGTACATGCATGAAGACACGAATGGTGTGAATGTACTTTATATACAACCAGAGTATGAAAAATTGTGCTCTATATGTGTAATATACTATCATATATAACAAATCAGAATAAAAATAAATAACAAAACAAAAAAATAGATGAGCAAAGGAACAGAACAGACACTTCTCAAAAGAAGAAATATGAACAGTCCACAAATATAAGAAAAAGTATTCAATATCTCTAGCAATTAGAAAAATCCATATTAAAACTACACTGAGATTTCGTCTCATTCCAGACAGAATGGCAATTATCAAGAATACAAGTAACAATAAACATTGGTGAGGATGTGGGGAAAATGCCCACGTGCATTGTTGGTGGTACTGCAAATTGGTGCAATCACTCTGGAAAGTAGTATGAAGATGCCTCAAAAAAACTAGGAATGAAACCACCGTTTGACCCAGCTATCCCACTCTTCAGTATATAATCAAAGGAGTTAAAATCAGCATACAACAGTGATGCACCACCTCAATGCTTATAGCAGCACAATTCACAACAGCTAAGCCCTGGAACCGGCCAAGGTGCCCTTCAACAGATGAATGGATGAAGAAAAAGTGGTATATATATACACAATGGAGTATTATTCAGCTGTTAAGAATGACTTTATGACATTTGCTAGTAAATAGATGGATCTAGAGAGTGTCATGCTAAGTAAAATAAGCCTATCCCCCCAAACTAAAGGTCGAATGTTTTCTCTGATATATGGAAGCTAACCAACAAGTGGTAGGGGCAGGGGGATGGGGAGAGAATAGAAGTCAGTGGATTAGACAAAGGGGAATGAAGAGAAGGGAGGGGGGAATAGAAATAGGAAAGACAGTGGAATGAATCTAACATAATTTTCCTACGTACACATACAAATACATAGTGAATCTCACCATTCTTGTGTACATCCACAAGACTGGGACCCTAATTGGAATAAGATATATTCCATGCTTGTTTAATTATATCAAATGGACTTTACTGTCATGTACAACTAAAAAGAGTCAATTAAATAGAGTGAGGATGGCATTTACCAATGATATACTTTAAAAAAGTTATGCCTCTTTTCCCTCTAAAGCCTAAGGAATTGTTTTAAAAAAAGACTATCAATGCCTTTCTAATTTTAGATCTGAGTACCACTCTGGGGCAACTCCTTGGGTATCAACTTAAGAAAGGCCTGGCTGTCATTTGGTCATGACAGTGGAGACACATGTCCTGCTATCTTTTCCAAAGGCACTGCAGAATTGTACCATCCTGTGGACTTGGGCTTTGAGCACTCAGCAGTCTTATTGCTGAATGTGAACATAGCTGCTTCCCACCCCAAAAGACATATCATTTATTATTTCAAAAATATTTTCTTTGGGCACTTTTAATCCTTGGGGACATTTACTTGATGAATAGCAAATAAGTTCCCTAACCAGACTGTTGTTATAAATATCCATGGCATTAATTCAAACCATTTTTCGGAAATTTTTTTTTTCCTTGACGAAAAGGGGTGGCTGACTTAACCTCAACATTTGGGATATGATTTTCCCTAAAATAACTACAACATCCATCATTTTTTTTCCTGCTGGTGTGTCAATTTTTTAATGAGAGGCTGGGTCCTTTCAGTACCTTTGGTTCCATAGTAACAATTTCATGTGTTTATTCTGGCTTACTGAAATAAAACACTAAAGAAAAGGTCAGTGACTCACTTTTGATTGGGGTTACTCTTGATTGTAGGATGAATATTTAAAATTTGATCACTCACATGAAGATACTGTGTGCTTCAAAATAAGATCCATGGCAAGCCTTTTAAATGTCAAATTATCAAACATTTAAACAGTCCAATGTTTTCAAACTATGGCCCTTTCTTCACAGGTGCAGATGTTTTCAAGATTATTATTGTTTTCATCCATGTATAACTGAGCTCGACTTCCCACCGCTCCTCCCCAGTACCAGGAGCTGAGTAATGCATTGAGTCATGGATTAAAGGCTCTGCGGTGACTAATGCAGGTACCGGAGTCTGTTTAGACCTATAGCACGTGCATCAAAATGAGCTGAATGGATACCATGGAGTCTTTCTCAGGTGCCACTTTGTGGCCCGGAGAGGCAGACACTTTACTAGGACTCCAATCCTTCTATCTTACCTGTTGCTGCTTGTTACATTGGATATGTGGGACAGCAGCAAGGGGCCTGGGTTGCTTTGATTGTTACCTTGGGTTTTTATTGTTTGATTTAATAGGTATTGAGCTTTCATCTTCTGTAAAATGGTAGCAACAGCAGGATCTGCATTGTAGGGTGTTTGAGGGGATGGATTGTGATAACCATGCATACGCCATGCCTAGCAGAGCACAGGCTCTTGGTACATACCACCTAAGTGTTGGATGTTATAATTACTCTTCTAACTTTCATTATCTGATCAGCATTTTGGCCTGCAGAATGAGTTCCTTTGCTCTGAAGGGAATTGTTCAAAAGCAATTGTTCAAAAGACTGAGTGATAAGCGCAATTTCCACTTTAGATGAGCAATCCCTTGTGGGAGGAGTGGGTACACCATTCTGCCCTCCCTCAGGGCTCCACCAAGCTCTGCTTTCTCATGTTTGAAAGACCAAGGCTGCTTTGTCCTCTTGAGCCCAGGCTCATGTGGACTGGCCAGGACTGAGGGCACAGCTCAGGGAAGAGCCTAGTCGAATCTCAGTCAACAAGATTTATTTAAAATGTAAAGACAAGCAGAGTTGTCTGGCAAAATTGGAAGTCAGCTGTAAACCTGTGACCCCCCACATTGTGACCTTTGAATGGTTCCGGGAGACACAGTGAAACAAAGCTGACCTTGGGAATGCAAGTAGGATGGGCTTGTGGGGAAGGGACAGAGAAAAACTGATATGGTCTAGATGTCGTTCTGGGGATTTGCATGACATGTTTTTCCAGTTCTCTTGAAAATCCATCTCTTTGATGACTCTTAGTAAACTTTAGACCTTAAAAGTCAGGCCTTAATCAGGGACTTCACCCATTTACTTAGTTACAAATATTTATGTTTTATGTCAAGCTGGCTGCTAGGTCAACTGGAAACGTGAATGACATGGTTCTCTTCTCTTGGAGCGTACATTCTAGGTTGGAGACATAGACAGTAAATGAGTGAAGCAAAGAAAGAAAATCATTGTTAAATGTTGAGTGCTTGAAGGAAGGGATTGTGTGCTGGAGAACTTTTGTCAGAGAGTCTTGACCCCTCTGTCCTGCTCTTGGGGAACATTGTGCCTTTTGCAGCTAAGAAGGACAGAGATCAAGTTCCATACTTCCTCTGTGTGCAAGACTACAGAGCAATTTCTTCGTGTTATGTGTTGACACCCGCTCAGTCTTTCCTCTTGGGTTGTGCAATTGAACTGAGCAAAGGGATCTCTATTGCTGTTCCTATTTTAGTTGTGAATAATAATGTTGCCAGGGTCTGAGTCTCCACTGCTATAATTACTGTTTTTATCCTCATTGTCAGAAAACATGGCTTTGCACATTGATTTGCTCACAGATTGCTTTCTCCCCCCACAAAGCAGCTCATGGATCTGGTGGTTTCCAGAACATATTTTAGACAACAGTGTTTTAGAAAATGCAGCATTCAGCCCTCCTTGGGTGGTGCTGTGTTCTGAATTTTTGAAGAGTAGTAAGTATGTCTTTGAAGAGAAATATTCCAGATAAGATATTTACATGTGTTGGTGACCCTAGGTTTATGAATGCCTGGCTGAAGTCACCTACTTAGAGCTCATTCTGTAGATCTCAGGAACCTGTCTATGATTTCTTGAGTCTACAACCCCACCTCTACCCCCAATAGTAGATAGCTGTGGCACAGAAAATTTAAAATAGTCTCCTTGACACAAAGCAAAACAAAACAGAAACAGTAGTGTTTGATGGCAAAGGTATAAATAAATTCCATAATAAAGGATAGTACAAAGTAAATAGATATAAATTAACCTTGTTTTAAAATTTTACTGAAAAATAATATGATATAGGAATTCCTTGGTGGAAATTTCATACACATCAAAAAAATGTGCTATTTCTTCTTTTCACCCTTATTATAGTCTTAAAATATTTTTTTAAAAAAATTAAAACAAGAATGCAATTCTTTGCTTAAATATTTTAAAATATAGATATAAGGGAATTGACTTGCACATCTGTTTGACCTATGCATCTATCAGCAGAGAATGCAGCAGCCTGAGTCCAGTTCACTGCTCTGGAGATCTGATCTGTGTCCAGCTTCCCCTGACCATCTCTAGCTATGATCCGCAGATACCTTGATTCTTTCAGCTGATGCCAAGTTTGGTCATAGATTCTTAGTAATAGGTCTGAAGAAAAATGATGGGTACTCTAAAAATTGGTTTCAGTGATTTCAGTTTTTTTTTTTTTGACTTTTTTTTTTGTGGTCTAAAATATTGACAATTATGTCTAAAGACCATGTCTTCACAGATGCTGAAGGATAGCCAAATACTTTTATTACAGGAAATTCCTCCTACCTCCTCCTTCCCTGATGGTCAGAATAACACTGAACCTTGCAACAAACTTAAAAGTAAGAGATGCCCAGCCGCCGTGTGGAGTTCAGAAGCTGGCATGGCTGTGAAGCCAATTAACCTTCACGAAAGAAGCTGCTTCCTGACCACTCATTCCCCAAGCAGTAAGGTAAAGGAGGTTACTATGATGGGGACCAGTCCCTGCCCTCTGGCCCTATAGATCCCCATTGCTTTGCTCATCCCTCATCTAGCTTTTCACATCAAATCCCCTTGCCCACATTTGTTGGCTGTCCTTTGGACCCTTCCTTCAAAAGTGGAAATAGTTCTCAGATATTAGTGTGTATCAGAATTACACTAATCAGTTGCAGAATGTACTAGAAATGCAAATGTTACTGTCTCTAGGGTAATTGATAAAAAATATAGCAAAAAGAATATATAACTTAACAAGCAGTGCTGCTATTTGTCACCTATAATGTTAGTACTCATATTGGGAAAGTACTTGATAATGTCCACGGTGCTTTTATTCAGTTTGGATATTTCCCTGTTCTAGCATCCACAGGCCATTAAATAGGATCCAATCAGCTTAATAAACCTAATATCAAAATTTTCTTCATCATCTTCCCTCTTTTAGTTATGGGAAAGAGCATTTAAGAAACACATTCTAGGGGCTGGGGTGTCACTCAGTGGTAGAGTGCCTGCCTCACATGTGTGAGGCCCTGGGTTCAATCCTCAGTACCACACAAAAATAAATAAAGATATTCTGTCCATCCATAACTAAATATATTAAAAAAACACACACATTCTAGTTATCCCTTCCCTACCGTCTGGTACTGACTGCTGTGATCCAAGGTAAATGGATATCCATCTAGGAGACTTGGAATTGAAGCCACCTCCACCACTTTCTCTGTTGAAAAGGCAAACTACTTGAGTCCTCTGAGCCTCTTCCCTTTCTTTAGAATAAGGTCAGTATTATTCTATTATGTCCTGGGATAATAAGAAGACTAAAATGAGATGATAGTTTATAAAAACACTTTGCAAACTATCAAGGAGGAGACTATGATCTGGTTTGGTCTGTGCACTGAGCTGTTACTGGGGAGAATGCTGTTTTGGTTTGGGCTGGGCAATTGATTCCCCAAATTTGAGAACAGGGGATGAAGGATCTCTGAAGTGAAGTAGGAGAAGGAAAGGGGAAATGGACCTCAGTGAGTGTTAGTATGGGAAGGGAGGTGGACCTATGGCAGGGAGGTGGAGACAGGACAGAGCATATACTCACTGGGTGTAGGTTTTTCAAGTACATATTGAAGTAGGGTGACTTTAGGTGAGCAATGTTAGGCTAAGTGCATGAAGTAGAATTCCATTACCCTGAAAAACATACTGTTTTTTTAAAGTGTGCTTCAGTTTCCAGTAATAGAGGCAAACCAGATAACCTGAAACCCTCCTGCTAAAAGCACTTGGAAATGCTGGATGGACCATAACAAACATTCTTTCAAGTGAATATTTGAGCTCTCAAGAAAGTAAGGGAACAACTCAAGGATGCAAAGCAAAGAGGAATATGGAAATTAGGGTAGTGACAGGTAGTTGTTGGTTTAGCTGCCTTTTATTTTTAAAACTTGTTTCAGTTATCTGGGAATTTGGGTTTTATAGCCTTGCTGGATCTTAGACATGGCCTGAGGCCAGCAGAGGTGAGTGGTTGGAACTGAGCCCCCTCTCTGAACATGTCTACAGCACACTCTCCAGTTCCTCTTCCCAACTGCCTGGGTTTTGGGCTCTCTTGTCGTTTCATCCATTCTGTAATTTAATTCAACAAATATTTATTCAGCTTCTCCTTTGTGGCCAGTACCAATGTCGGTCCTGAGTGCTCTTCCCTCACCCGGTATACTTCCATGTATTCATGGCTAAGGAGGTATTTTGAAGACTATAAAGTTCTATTTAAACATGCTACGTTCCTGTAAGGGTCTCCTGGATGAAGTGCTGATCTCAGCTCAGCTACTTCCTGGTGAGGTCTTGGGGCACTTCCCTAATTTCTTGTATTCTTCTATTTTTATTATTTATTTATTTGTACCAGGGATTGAACCCAGGGGTGCTTCACCACTGATCCACATCCTCAGCCCTTTTTATTTTTTTAATTTTTGAGTCAGCGTCTTGCTGAGTTGCCTACAGCCTTGCTAAGTTGCTGAAGCTGGTTTTGAACTTACAATCCTCCTGCCTCAGTCTCCCTCAACTTTGGGGTTATCGGTGCGTGCCACGGCACTTGGCTATTCTTTTTATTTTTAATAATGCTTATGAAATGTGTTTGATATTGGCAGACTGTTCTGGGTTGAGATTATCAAAAACAATTCTTGACACCAAAAGAACAATCCATAAAAGGAAAATTTGATGTTAGATTTTATCAAACTTAAAGCTTCTTACTGTAAGAAAGACACCAAAGGAATGAAAACAAGTAATAAATTGGAAGAAAATATTTTAAATCACATACCTGACAGAAGACTTGT